TTGACAACAACACCATAATCCAGGTTTTTGTGAAATTGTCGGAGTTCGCCCATGCCACGTACATGTGCTTTGTTGACTTAGAAAAAGCCTATCATCGATCCCGAGCAGCAGCCTGTGGGTATGCCTGCTAACATGTGGGATCGATGGCTAATTGCTTTGGGCCACCCAATCACTATATGCTGATAGCTGGTGCTGCGTCAGAATAAATGCCGCTAAATGGAAGCCGTTCAGCGTTGGCACTGATCTCCTGCAAGGCGATGAGTGTATTCGGATGACAGATGTCGAGACGAGAGGGTTATCATTTGCAGATGATCTTGTTTTGTTGGCATCTTGTGAAACTGATCTACGGCACTTTGAGGAAAGATTTGTAGTCGGGTGCATCGTGGCCTGCAAAGATGTAAATGTGTTTAAAACGAAAAGCCTAGTGTTTTTTAGTTCTCTTGCCTGTTGCTGTCTGCAGATAAATGAAAAAACAATGGAGAACGGAGCTAAGTTGAAGTATCTCGAGGTCGTGCTTGGTTGTGATGGAAAACTTGAGGAAGAGATCGACCGGCTGATTGGAGTAGCCATAGGTGTTTTGCCTGAACTATCCCGAACCGTTGAGATTTAAGCAGAACTGAGTTTGAAGACTAAGCTGTCAATATTCAAGTCGATCTTCATCCCCCATGGTTACATGCGGCGATGAGCCATCCACCATGACCGAGAAACTTCGATAACAGGCACTAGCGACTGATACGCTCTTTCTTAGATGAGTCACTGACTTTACCCGTCCGGACATGGTCCGGAATAGACGAAAGCGCGAGAACCTTGGTGTAGAGCATCTGCTTCCTCAGACTGAGAAGTTTCAACTACGATGGTTTTGACATGTGTTGCGAATGCCTCCAGAAGCAAAACCGAAGCCAATGTTTTTTTCTAGCCGACCGGCAGAAGGCCCAGAATACGGCCAAAATTAACCTGTGCAAATGTTTAGAAGGAGTCTGCTCTAGGCTATAGTTTTTCCGCCGAAGCCCAGACTCTGTCAGAGGATCAGTAACGTTGGAAACTCTGCCTCGGCGACCCCAAAGGAGAAGCTATTATGAAAGATGAAAATATTGGATAATGGTGTTCTAAAATCGAAACCCTGCCGTAGTTAATTATTTCAGTAATTTACGACTTCCTTCCATGGTGTGAAAATTTCCCAAACGTTTTAGACGTTTGTTTATTCATTTATTTTTACAGGCCGCTTATATATCATGGTGAGGGGGGACTTCACTAGCCATTTTCCTTGAACTCGGTCCTCCAACACCCTGGCAATCTCCATTTCCTCTATTCAAGGACATGGCCTGCCGAATGCCCAATAACTTGACCCATCGCGCCAACTCTGTCTTTCAGTGGGTCGTTAAAATCGGATCGGGCGAAACTTTTTTTCCCTTCACTGTCCTATCTCTCGTCGCGATCACTTATCAAAACCACTGAAAACAGTCTACGCGGTTAACCAGATTGTTAAGCAAGAAGATTTCAGATTGATGGGTTCCAAGGCTTGCCGATCCTTGGAACACTATTTCTGATTTATTTACTGAGTTAATATTTGTGCTCAAATTAATGTTATATTACTATGATTATTTATTATCCAGCTTCAGAATGGTTATAAGGTTTAAATTTTTTGATTCGTCTAAGCAACTATGTTTTGCGTTTTGTTTTAACCGGCTTTTTACCATTTCGGTTGGTTTCCATTCTAATAATTAGTTATGCATTTTTTCCATTGGATATGATTGATCTTCTCATGACTGCAGCGTTTGATTAATTTTCATTACGTTGATATGCTTAACTTCAGCATGACTGATTAATTCGCTGAAGAAAATTCAAATTGCGCGATGCACTTGTTCTATGCCAGCGCAAATTACGAAAATCAACGGTTCGATTAACCAGAAATTTTCGATTGGTTGATTGAAATTGAAATGTAAAACGAAGGTTTAAAAAGTGCTTGACAGATTGTTCATCGAGGCGGTGAGTTGAGATCAGTAAGCCGTTGTGTGTCAGGTAATCAAGTAGATGCATATTGCTTAGTGACGAAACATCATGGAAACTTATGAAATGAAGTAATTAGAAACTACCATGCATTTGTGACGTAATTACCTGCCACTGATCTCTCAGAGTTCAGCGAAGGCGCGAGGAGAGCGACGGCGAGGTAAAATTGACGATCATTTTCGACCGATGTGCAGAATTTCCAACATGTCCGAGAGAAACGTGAACTATTTTCAACGGCGAGGACAACACTCGATGATGAACAACTTTTGGTTGCACGAGACCTTGAAAAGATGAAGCCTCTGACCAAATAACGGTCCTGTGCAAAGCGGATGCGGGTTATTTTGCCACCTATGGAAAGCCGCTGAGCCGAACTGTAAAGTACTTGAAAAATATTCTCGAGTACTTTAAAGTACCTTTTAAAGTTCAGTTTTTACAGGTGCGTCCTTGTGAAATGGACTTCCTCACATTGTATGTGGTAATTTTAATTGGCTTTGGTTTGTGTTTCATCGTCCAAACCGGTGTGACGATTCTGTCCTTCTCGCAAGTTTCCTTACGGCAGAAGTACCCGCTCTTCTTGATGACATTCATGGCAAAGTGCGGCATCAGCTTTGGTGGCTTCATGCGCTCAGCCGTCTATATACAGCTTATTCGTCTGAATATGTTTTGCACGAAGATCGCCTTGTACGAATGCTTCTACCACGTGCATGGCATCGTCACTGAGTTGTCGTTCTTCTACCACGCAGAGATGTCCTTACTGGTCGCCATCGAATGTCTTCTCGTGATTCTAGGCGAAAAGAACTATGAGCAATGGTGGAGGCCGTTTTTCTCCTGGTACACTGGAGTTTTTTTCTTCTTGCTCAACCTGGTAGTTTTTTGGGTCTGCATACTCCACCAAACTACCATGGGATCAGCTTTTGTGTACAACCATTGCAAGCTGCAGCTATACAGTGTGCAATTGCCAATGAGTGGCTATATTTCTTTTTTGCTGTTCTGTCAAACAATGACCATCATAATCTGCACCTTCACGGTGTGGCTAATTTTGAAAAAGCGACGCCTGCTGTCGCACCAGTGCGGGCCAAAATGGCATGGTGAACCCGGCGCCACTTGGGACAGAGAAATGAATATCAGTTTATATAACTTGGTAGTAGCTTTTCTGCATCTGCTCTACTATGGAATAACACGATACACTTTTGCGGTACTTCCGAAGACAAAGAGCGCCCGCCTACTCTCGGAAAAATTTTCTGAAGGCATTCTCATTCAGGATTTAGCCAGTATGAGTGAAATGTTTATAACTGTTTCTTTCATCCTAATGACTCCTGTTTACTCCCTGTTGGTAATTTTTTTTCGAGGAAATGTAGATAACATCATTGAGCTTGGACATGCCCTTGATGGTGAGTAAAGCGCTGTCAACCAGGATAAGCCGTAACGGTTTAAAGGCTTTTAACTACGATTCGATAACTTTGGCATTGCTAATGCAAATAAACGTATGAAACTTTTAATATGGCAAATTTTTTTAAAAATATTTTCTTCACTTCAGCGTTGCGCAGTATCATCTGGGCTTCAAGACAGTTACGTAATACTGTAACGCAGTTATCAAACTATACAGTATCAATTAAAATCTAAGTTCCCGATTCAGTTGTATTTAGCGCACGACGAATGTTGATGTTGCGAGACCTCTTCTGCATAGTCAGCGTTTCGACCACACAGCAGCGGCTTTCTTCGGGACAAAAAAAAATCTAGCAAAAATGTTACAGTATGAACTGAAACTTACGTAACATAAATAGCCGTGTACGGTAAACCCCAACCCACAACGGTGTCGAAAGCAGTAATACAGCCGTCACATATCTTGTTCGTGTTAGCTGAGATATGCGGCGATTCTTTGGTCAGCAGCTAAACTCTATCGTCTTAGTGGTCAACCACTGAAACGTTTCCTTACACAAAATCATGACTGTGTTCTAAGGCGTGGGCAAGAGAACTCGATTGTTTTGGATGACTGTTCGCAATAGCTCATCTGTGTTCTCCAGTTCAAACTTCTGATGTTCTGAGAGTCTTCACATAGTAAATCCGTTCGCAAATGTTGCACTGAATTAGAGAGACAAGATTTAGTTTAGTTAGCAATGGCAGACGATGATCAAGTTTCACGTAGAGCGCAGAAAACCGAAAGTCAGACCTCACAATAAAAATGCATTAAGACAACGCTTTCCTAACAACTTACGCATATATTCAGGTATGCCTTTGATTCATGGAATGGTAATATAATTATCGAAGCTGACTATGGAGAAAGGCCCATGAATAGGGTGAACGAGTAAACGGAGCTAAACTCTTTGGGTTTCCATTCTCCGGAACCTATAACAAGATAGTTTCTTCAGAAAAAAACGTTTTTAATTCCAATATTTGAAGGCTCTGAAAAGCATGGATTGAAGACCGAGGCCGTGAGCTTATCCGGCACGAATAGTACTGCACTAGGAGGAACTTAACTAAAGATCTTGAGTATCTTAAGTATTGCGACTGGATGGCACCGGTGTGACAAGAGCTCTAAGCGAAATCAGCATACAGCAGATGAACCCAAGGGTGTGGGTTCCTTGGATGCAATTGAGTTGTAGGACAGTATCGATTTAGATTCATTTTCATACAAGCTTTGCGATGATTTGAGTAATGAATTAGAGCAGCTCTGGTCAACGGTCCTGCAAGCTGAGCACAGAAGACACTGTGTCGCTAGTCACCGTTGTGACGACAAACATATTATTTACATTTTTTAGCTTGGTGGATAGCAACGAGTTGGGTTTCCGGCTTGTCAGTGTTTCCTCAGCCAAGATCTAGATGAAAAGAACGCTTTACACCTTTGTTCCCCCAACATGAAACCCTTCCTATGCTGTCATTCCATTGATAACATTTTCATCTTCACAGTAATCATACTAATTCACTCAATTCATTTCTCATCTACATAAATTCAGTAGATACTATCAATCGCTCAAAATTCACTTTTGGAAAAGGTGTCGAGAGGATGTTACTTTTTCTTGACATTTTGATTAAACGTAACGTTGAAGGATCCTTCATTTTCTCTGTATATAGAAAACCGGTTCATTCCACCGACCGTGGTCGCCAAACGATATTTCTATTGGAATGGCATCCTTTCGCGTCATATGGAAACTTATTAATCTTCAGCACTTTATTTCAACATAAAAATATCCGCCGCCGAAACTTCAACTTTCAACGATAGTTATGTGGTCGAGGAGACAGACACAGTCACTGTAGAATATGAAAACGTGGTTAATTTTAATCCGATCTTATTTACTTAGGAATAGAGTCTGCCACGTGACTCCGGTAAACGTTTGATTAGCTGTTGCTTTAATTAAAAGTCGGCCATCGATAGAACAACCTTCCACCTAAGATAATCAGAAAGTCGAACCGAATCAAGCCGTTGCCAACCGGAAACCATTTCCATAATCAGTCGATTTGAAAGCCTGTGGAGCGGAAGGGACAAAACTGAAAAAAAATTGACAGTCTGTCATGGATAGTTAACTTAGGCGACTGACGATTCTCAAATATTTCGATCCAATAATTAATTCGTCCGCCTAACTTCGACGGACGACGATTGGCTTAAAACTGGCATTTGTGACAACTGTCATGACTTTCACCATGATGATGCACTACGCAAACAACACTGTCATCGTAGGCTCGTCGTCACTTAGACATCGCGCCTTCGAGGAAAGGAGTTGAATTATAACCTCTGAGGAACGGCACTGATTCCGCGAATGACACACTTCCAATGACTGATTAAGATCCGTTTTATGATCTTTATTTTTGCATATTCTTTGCTTTCGGGCGATGGATTTTGTCCACTAGTTTCTAGTGGACGATCTTATGAACCACTGATATTATGTTATCTTTCACTGCGAGATTCGTCCCCATTACGATATAGATGTGACGTCTGATAAATCTGTTACAGACACATTATCTCTCTGATCATAAAACGATCAATAACAAATTGTGCAGGCCGTACTGTATCTCCAAATTTAGCTTCCACAAGAGAGGTTTCGTTAGAATTCCTTAATCGCAGGTCCCAAGCACGGATGAGAGATGACGGAGGTTGGAAACCGCTACTAGATCACGTAAGACTTAGCAACCTGTCACTCATGGAATTGAAGTCATCGAGCATAATACCGGCTCGGTCTTCTCCTGGGTTACAAAGGGCTGCGCAGGCTGTTGGGGGACTGAGGTAGGCTGCGCAAAGTAGGGAAGTAGATCCTGCTCATCGCTCTCTGCCAGCCGATTGGGGGGGGGGTGTTTAGCAGCAGAACAACGGCTGACGAAGATCGACGAAAGAACGACGAAGATACAAATCAGCAGCAGAATCGCAACCCGTTCTAAACGGAAGAGTCAGACAGCTCCTTGTCATTAGAGCACGTCAGAAAAGACTCCACAAGAACGACACCGCCAGTGGGAGCTTACAGTCAGAAATTGATATGCATCCTCGTTCAGAGGGGAAGAGCAGCAGGTATTTGATGATGCCGCAAGGCAGCAATTCGAAATAGTTGAACGCTCGTCAACGAAGCGCCAAGGCTCTGAAATTTTGAAAATTTGCTTGTTAAAAATATGCACCTAAGGAGTCGACATCACGACGTGCACACATACAGGTGTTGGTGTGCTGGTAGAATCATTTAGTGGAAGCCTGCCAGTGGCATATAGCAATTCTCTAAGCAGAAGTTACAACAGGCCTAAGCTTTGACCTTACTACAGGTCTATGCTCGCATTTTGGAGAAAGAAAATGAGTCAGTGCAGAAAGTGAAATACCTTGGAATCCGGTTTAATGGTGATGGAAAATTTGAGGAAGAGATCGACTGGCGGATTGGAGCAGCCAGTGGTATTCTCCGTGAATTAGTCTGAACCATTGTGACTAAAGCAAAGCTCAGTCTGAAAACTAAGCTCTCGATCTTGATCCCGTACTTTCCTACGGTAATGAATCATGGACCATGACTGAAAAGCTTCGAGCCCAGGTACAAGCGGCTGTAATGGGCTTTTTTAGACGAGTCGCTGGTTTTCGGCGTCTTGACATGTTCCGGAATACAGACTACCGTGAGAGATTCAGTGTACAGCCACTGCTTCTTCAGTGTTAAGATGTAACAGCTGCGATGGGTTGGTCACGTGTTGGGAATACCTCCAGAAAGGAAGGCGAAACAATCGCTATCTACCCAGCTGACCGGCAGATGACCCTGGGATACCAATGTTTATCCTGGGGAAAGTGTATTGAAGTACCTTGCTCAAGATTCTGGTTGTCTTCTATCGAACCTCAAAGTCCAGCACAGGTTTAAGAACGTTGGAAACACCATCTGGCGATTCTCCCTCGGTGACCCGCAAATAGAACCTGTCACGAAAATTGAACTGAATTCAAGTTTTGCCAGATCCATCGTCTTTACGTCACCTAGCGAGTCTTCGTAAACAATAGCACCGAAATCTTGACTTTCGATAGCAGTTTACTGCAAGACTGGAAGAAAGCTTCACTAGACTCTGAAATGAATGTTAATAAAGCAATTTTCCACTCTAGTTCCAGTTCTCATCTGTTGCCGTTCTAAGTCAAGAAACTCCCGTTGAAACGACGTACCAGAAGCGATCATTCGTCATCAATCAAAATCAAATTTATGAACGACCGATCGTTTTTCGCTTTCAAACCTTCGTCGTCACTCATTTTAACTTAATTAAGTTTCAGTAAGAGTCTATGCGTATCCTAGCGAATGTCATATAGCATTTTATGATAGAAAGGAATCTCTCCATCTCAAAACGCGCTTCACTTGGCCCATCGGGTGATCGGCGACGAATAGCGCTGGTTGCAGTATGACCACAAGTCGGTGTTGTTTGGCGTCGGCGCCTTCACTCTCCAGGCGTGGTCTTCCCGGATTCTGAAGTAATCTTCCTGAAGTCGTGCTGGGCGACAAAGCGTACCTGACCCACTGTAGCTTCTCCCTTCTGTTTTCGCCTGGTACTCTCTTCTGCTGTCACATCACCGTGTTGGGAAAGTGGTCGCGGCGTGAGATTCCCAACATTCAGTTTTCAGTGGCTCTCTCGGTGACAGGCAACTTCCACTCTTCCACTTCAGGTAGTGACCCCATCTCACAACCATACAACTTCTTCGGCAAAACATCAAAATATAGGAGGCAGTTGCAGGTATCTTTGATGCTGCTGCTGAGGAGGACGTCGTTGGTTGAATGGAACGCGCCAACCGGCCCTCTTCTTCGTTGAAACTTTCCAGCTCGCTCT